CCTCTTTAACTGGTGCAATATTATCAAGGATGGTAGTGAACATTGTTTTGAATTTTTCCCAGGCATCGTTTACGTCCGTGCAACTTGTTATCTCTGTCCAGTCACAATCCTTTCCTTGTCCCTTCTCCTTCCTCGATTTGGAACTCAGCCGTTCGCCTCTATTTGCTTGTGGTCTAGAGGCGGTTTTTTGCCAGACCACATGGGTGCTTGAGTGCCCGTGTCCTCTGTGCCGCACTCCGCTCATCTTGCGAGTGCCTCCTGTGTGCCTGCCTGCCTGCCTGCTGCAAGCAGGTGTCCGGGTGGTTGGCGCGGGCTTGGTGAGCACAGTCAAGCAAGCTTGAGGGCAGTACTAAAAGCTAGCCAGAACAAGCTAAGGCAGCCTGCAGTAATAGCTGTCCTAGGGCCCAGCATGTCTGTATACGTTCTGCAGTGCTGCTGGCATACCAGTTTTCCTGTAGTGGCTTGAGAACAATTTGACGAGCATTGCAGTGCTGACATTTTGAGCGGGACATGCCAGAGGTTCACTTATAAAAAATAGTAAGCTTGTGGTGATTGGCTTGTACACAGTGAACATTCATCTGTCATACGTGTGCTAGAAGTGTTAAGTGCTGCTTTCCCCAACAGTTAATTGTTTATTTGTAAGCCTGTATTAAGACTTTAAAAGGTCAGAGGTTTTCAGTGTAGTGACTCCTTACATTTGATAAATCATGTAACACATGCTCTGCTCAGTGTAACTGAACTATTAAATACGGTTACATAATTAAATTGCTTGTCCTAGTGTCATTGTTTGTTTTCTAATACATTTTCTCGTTCAGACTGAAACTTTATTGCTAAATTCCCAGTAATATTTCAAATTGCAGTGGTTTATCTGGGTGTGAGTGTGTAACTTATGCTTTGTATTTTTACTGTGAACAAGCTTACTCCTGCATAATGTTCAGTTTCATGAATACTTTCTTACTTGAGTAATTCGGTTACCTTCAACTGTGTTAAGCAAGAGTCAGCCTGTTAACATCTATGTTCCTTGCCATCGCATCTAGTGGGTCTAGCGCCTAGTTAAAAAATTTTAATAGTAAAATTTGCAATTTATTATATCGTTATACATTGTGTAATTGTTTTAGACTATTTGATCAAACTGGATTGTAGTGTTTTAAATTCTGTTTCACCAATTTAATACCAGACACCACTGACACATAATAAAAACATTAAAACCTGGGAACTCCAAAGCTGGGGCCCATGTTGACCTTGAGAA